GATGGAAAAGCATAATGAGTTACAGATAAAAGTTGGGGGTTTTAATGTGAAAACATCTGAATATTTACTGGGCTTACAAACCCAACCCATGCAATGCATTGCACAGTAAAGGATTTAACTGAACTAAAGACACAGAGCTCACAATGTTGCTTTAAACACCAACAACTGCATGAGGGAACCTATAAAGCACATCACTCAAAAAAGAAGATTTCTGAACATGAACTGTCCAAGAGAGATAAGAGTACAGAGGTCAAACAGGTACAGACACACAGAATTCACTTTAAAATAGAAGCTGACCTAACCTTCATCTTTCCTAAGGGGTTCAAATGTCTCCTGGGAAGTCTGTGTCTCACAGAATGTGCTGTTATTTTCCTCCATCTTTTGCAAGCTTTCTAAAGCTGTGCTATGTTGAGTCAAAGCCCTCAGAAGAGCAATATCATTCACCAAAGCAGGGAGAGCTGAGGAGTTTTCAGCCACTCCTCTTTCACCTCTGCAGGCTGCAGGAGGGGTGTTGATGGTCTCTGAGTTTTCAAACTCTGTTTCCTCTGGAGATGAATGGCCTGTTCCTAAAGGATGCACAGAACTCATGGAAAGGAGAGCATCTTCCTTATGGGATGTGCCAAACACCTGTTGATGGTCTTCTGCAATATATTGGAATGAGCCACTGCCAAGAGCTGATTTTGGTGACAAAGCCAGCAAAGGACTGCCTGGTTTAATGCCAGCACTCCTACTACCCCAGAAGTGTTGTGAGCCAACCTCTGGGGATTCCCTGCATCCAAGCTCTGTGACACCTTCTTCGTCCGTGGCAGAAATGATTCTGCTGGGAGAAATACCTGAAATACTTCCAGTTGCCTCAAACAGGCTGGTTTCAGGGTGACATTCCTTAACATTTGTGTCACCAGGCATAGGATCAGAGTGCTGGTTTCTTATCCCTGGTGTGCCATCAATGGTGAGTGCTGCACAGCCAGCATGATCCTCTTTATTGCTTGTGGTTTCAAGACTTAATTGACTTGCATTCATCTCTTTTATGTTGTGTCCAGCGCCCAAAAGTTCCACTTCAGTTCTGCTCTGGCTTGCAGGGTCTTCTGCAACCCTCCTGGTATCTCTGACACTGCTTTCACAAAGCTCAGGCAAAACACCCCCAGTGCAGTCACTTCCATCATCCTCTCTGTCAAATGTTGAACATTTGGCTTCATTTTTGCTGTGTGTCCCTCCTTCACAGCGGGAATGAGGTCTCAACACAGCTACATCCCCTCCCTCAGAGCAATCTGTTCTCTGTGAAAGTGTGTCTCCCTCAGTGGGCTTCTTCACATCTCTTTCACACACTTCTTCACTGTCTGTGTCATTAAAATCAAAAGACTCCATTAGATTAAAGTTAACCTCCATCAGTTCTTCATCAGGACTACACTCTTTGCCATCCAAATTTAACTCCTCCTTGACAATTCCAGCTTCAGTCAGTGTTAGATCCCCAGAAAGCTCCAGGTCACTGGGCACTCCCTCTGAATTTTGTCTTGGCTGAAGCCCACTCTGCATCTTCACAGATGAATTCTCCCTAAGATCCTTAGTCCCTGACTGCTCCCTGTATCCAAAAGAATTGTTTTCAAAGGTGATTGGACTTGCTGAAGGTGAAATGTCACCTGAGGACGGGACCAGCTGGCTGTCACTCATTCCACTTATGGTGGACTCAGGTAGGAAGCAACCATTTGTGCTGCAGGGATCCTGCAAATCTTGACTTAAATTATTTACCTTTTTGTCGTGTCTCTGTCCTGTGGCTTCTTCAGGTGAATTCAGAGGCATTCCAGCATTCCAGTCCTTCTTATCATTTCCAGTTCCCTTCCCAAAAGGCAGGTGCTGAGTGTTTGGAACGATTCCTTTGGCAGGACCACCTGGAAAAGCAGGTAGGGCCGTGCTTTTCTGGTCATGTAAATCTGCATTTTTTGATGCCTGAAACCTGGAGAAACTTTCTGTAAGTGCAGGTGTTTGTCCTCCGTGTCCTTGTGCTGGTTTGGACTTCAGAAGAGCAATGATCTGTGCCGTGCTCCTGATGTTGTGGGACACCGCCCCAGGACCAGTTTGCCCAGTAAGGAGAGGAGATTCTGGCTTCACAGGGAACTGAGCAGAGCTTTGCTTCTCTGTCCCCTCACATCTGTCAAGAAATGGAGCTGAAAGCAGCGAGGAGACAGCCACGTGTTCTCTGTCATTATCCCTACATCCATCTTCCTGGAAGCCTGCGGAGAGATTTCTGTCCGCATCCTTCTTGTCAATCGTGGAAAATAATGGAGAGGTGACATAAAACTTGGATGGAAAAGTCCCCTGGCACTGCTTAGATAAAGGCAACAGTGTTGGTTTTTCTTCCTCTTCCACAGCTGGTATTTTCTTTTCAACTTGGCGTGGCCCTTGGAACCCCTGGGAAAGAAATTTGAAATCAATCCCCATTTTGCGATCAAACGTTGAACAACAAACAAATGAAAATCTGAAACAAACCCACACCGTAAACTTCCTTTTCAGGCCAACAGGGAGGTGTCTTGGAGGCAGAAGACCAGGTTTGACACCATTTCTAGCCACTGCTGGAGTTTCTTCTGCTTTCCTTGGCTGATCTTCCAAAGGTTTTTCACTCACTTTTGCTGCTTCGACCGTGATCAAATATCGTTCGCTTTCAAAATTATCTCCAGCAGCCACCTAGAAAGGAGAGAGCAGCAGGGTGCACATAATAGTGCCATGTAAGAAAGAATAATATGCAGATTTATTTTAAATAAATATAGTCTTTTAAGTGCTTAGATGTAAAAAATTCAGATATTTAGACCAAATATATCAAAGATGCCATATACAGAAATAAATATATAGAGAGACTAGAAAGCATTAGCACTTATCTTCAAGTTATGCTTATTTAATATATCCCTGTAATAACACTGCTTTTACCCCAAAGGAATAAAATTCCATAAAACCTTCTGGACAAACAATAAGACTTGTCAATAAGAAGAAGCTGTTTTCCCTTTTCATTATATCCACAACAAGAAAAATGGCTATTTTAGTTACCAACCCAGTGTTTGAAGCTCTGCCTGAAACACAAAGCACAATCAGGCATTCAAATAACAACTCCAAACAAACTATACCTGAGATTTTATAAAAATACTCTCCAGGCATTGTCCTTTGCCATCAAACAAGGTGGCCTGCAATGAAAAAACGGGATTTTAAATAACCAATTATTTCACAGAGCCACTAGACTGGCACTGGCAGTCCAGCAGTAGCAGATGGGATTAAATCCAAGAGTGTTAAATCTGAGTTTTCACCTGATTTCTGCCAGTTCTAATCTTCAGAACTCCATCTTGCCACGTTTTTGCTTTTTTTGTCTTTTGGTGAGTGTATAATACCTGTTTTAAACATGCAAAAATGTTGGGAAAATAAGAAGATATTTGAATAATACAGCAGTTGCAGTCTTTTAATTTATTCCTAATAATAATAGTACGCAGTGTTAAAAATCACTTACAGTAAATTCTTGAGAGGCCATTGCTTGGTCAAAACAGCCATTTATTTCACAAATATCCACATCTTCACACAGCCTGAGAGGTGGGGAAATGGTCAGAATTCGCCAGAGCTGTGAAGAAAATGTATGGACAAGAAATCACATGTCAGTTCACTTCTGTTTTCCTCTCAAAAGAACTTTTCTTGCAGCAAAAAAAAACCACCAAAAAACCAAAAATACCCCAGAAGCTGTTACCAGAATAATTTTGTGGCAGGTGTGGAGCTGGCCATGCATGTTCAACTCATGTAAAACATGAATTATATTTAAAACACAACTGACTGCAGACCAGCCACCCGTGAAGCCAAACCCCTTCATGTATTTAACGTTAGACCGCAATAACATTTAAAATAAAGTTCAAAATAGCCTCTGGATGAGTGAGGAACAGTTTATATGAAGAAAGGGGGAAAGATTCCTGCCGTTTCTTTTGGCTCCCAGCTCCTTGGTTGCTTAATGAGGCGAAAATCCATGGAAACGGACACCCTTGGAGGACACGAAGTTACCACCTTTAAAGCCGCTGGATGGATGCGAACCCTTACAGTGACTCCGGGTGGAATGCCGCGGGAGCAGGGATGTGCAAAACAAACCAACCCACCGTCTCCCTTTCCAGCCCCCTCGTCCAGCAGCATTCCCTTCAGCGCCAAGGGGGGGATTCCATTCCCCGAGGGACCGCGACCGCATCCCCCCCCAGTGACACCGCGATCCTACCCAGCGACCAGGATCACGACTGGAATCATGACCAGGATCGGAATCAGGCTCGGGATCGGGATGAGGATTAGGAGCGGGATGAGGATTAGGAGCGGGATGGGGATCCCGGTGGCAGCCGCCGCCCTCTCGAATTTCCCGCCGCGGCGCCCCGCGTGACGTCACGAGTGCGCGCCGCCCGGCGGGGGAGGAAGTCACGTGCGCGCAAGGCCGGGCGCGCCCCCCGCCGCCCTCGCTGCTGCCGCCGCGCACGCGCGGGCGCCGCCGCGGGGCTTTTCATCCCTTAGAGGGGGAGAGGGGGGGCGGTGGAACCCGGTAGCGCGTGTCGCCGGGACTGACGGGGATAACGGCGGCGGAGGAGCCGTGGACGGGGCGGGCCGAGCCGGTGTCTCCGCGGCGGCGGCGGCGACGGCAGGTCAGTGACCGGGCAGGGGGTGCGGGTCTGTGGGTGGTGGCGGCGATAGGGGGCGCTGTCTCCCCCTTCGCGTGTTTCCCGCCGCTCGCGCGCTGCCCCCTCCCCTCGCGCTCCCCTCGCGGCGGGGGCGGGGGGGGGGCGGTCGGTCCCCTCAGGTGATGTCGGGCGCCCTTTCCCCTCAGCGCAGCGCCGCTCCCCGCCTGCCGCCCGCTCTGACCCCGACCTGCCCTCACCTGCGCCGCCGCCCACCCCTGGGCATCCTGTTCTCCTGGTGTCCCGCTTCTCCCGGCGCCGGTGGTGCCTTCCTTAGGGCTCCTCACTGCCCCTGTCCCTCGGCGTCGCCCCGGAGCGCTGAGGTGGCTTCGCCCTGAGGCGATGCACAGGTGACTCTTGGAGTCGAGCCTCACGTCGGAGGAGAGAGTCCTGTGTTGAGGGGTAGGGGGACATGAGCAATAACGCTTTGGGCTAGTCTGCGCTTGCTTTTTTTAATATTTTATCCATACGAGGTCTGTGAGTAATTACATGAGCGGCACCTGCTGATCCCTTTACTTGGTGCCCTTGAAAAAGCAACGGGCTACACAATACATTGGAATTATCACTGACTGGAGCTATCACTTAGTACAGTGCTAAATGTGTGGTGGTCGGACTTGAGAACAAGCAGGATTTAGCGAGTTGCTGTGCTGGCCAATATAAGTCAGGGCTAGAAAAATCTATCTCACGCCGTGTGTTTCCCCTTTGTTTTAAGGGTAAAGAAGATGAGGTTTTCCTATAGGTATCAATTGCTTCTGGTAGAATGCAGCTGTAAACACGGCAGCAGAATGCCTGGTTTTTGTATCCACCTCCATCCCGCTTCCAACTCCTTATTCCTGCTGCTTCCTTTCTCCACCTCTGCTGCTTGCTCACCTCTTTAATCGGTTGGTTTTCCCCTGCGGGGAAGGACCAGAATTTAGTTTTTAGGTCATAGAATTCACCTGAGTTACCAGAGGGTGAGAACTGAGTAGTGACTAAGGTGAGGGACCTGGGCTGCCCTTTTGGTGTCATATAGGTGAATCCACCTATTCATAACTTGGTGCTGAGGGCACGTATTTTAATTATAATCACAGAACCACTTAGGTTGGGAAAGACCTCTGAGATCATCAAGTCCAACTTTTCACCAGTCACCGCCTTATCAACTAGACCAGAGCACTGAGTACCATGTCCAGTCACTTCCTGAACACAAATAAATCCACTTTCCACCTCTTATGATGGTGGAAGGCAGGACTGACACAGAGGGGTTTGGAAACAGCCTTAACAATCATCCCTGTGAGGTGGAAGCAAAAGTTTTTCTGTTAGTCAGCACACCAGTTTCATTGAATCTATTAAACACCTTATATGTAGTTTTAAAATGATGTATTGTTTTTGTTGCTTAAAATGGAGGACAGGCAGGAGCTCCTGCTTGTTTTTAGGTGAAGACATTTGTGCTGGTCCCCATGTATTGATCTCCTGTCCTTTTGCATAGAGAGAAGTTAAAAGGCAGGGTAGAAACTTCATTGCTGAAGCTCTGCCTGTGTCTGCATTGCTGTGAAAATATGCCAGGATGTCTCTTTTTAAGTAGTTTCAGGTTTGCTGAATACTTGCATTTATTCTGCAGTAAATGCCCAGAAGGGCAAGTGTTGCCACTGACTGTGTAAAAACACTTTCATAGTTTATGAAGTATTTTGAATTACTCTTTTTCCTCCCCCAACTTCACTTGCCGCATTTTGCTACTTAAAATGCCCAAAGCAAATAAGCATTTGCATTAGTGCTTAAAAGAATAAAGTGTATTTTATATCTGCACCCTGCTTCTTACAGATCTTGGAGTACAGTCAAAGTTTCCTATGTTTTCTAGATGTTGATAATGATAGAAGTTCTGTTTGAATACAGGTTAGCACTGACACGTTTAATGCTTGCTTTTCAAAGAGCATAGATAAGTTTCTGTAAATACGTGTGAAGTAGAATTATTTTGGTTGACGTTATCTTTGCTTCCCCCTGCTTAATCGCCCCTCCTTTTCCTTGTTCCACTCTGGGGTATAGAGGCACTGATGTTTTGTTTCCTTTGAGGAGATGCTTTGCTTTATCAGAGTGAAGTTTTCACTCTGCTTTTGCTTTCTTCTGATTTTAGTTGCTTATCAGAATAGTGCTGGCAGCGTGAGAGTTGCCAAGTGAAAGATCCAAACTACCACGGACCTTGGCACATGGTGATTGCTACATTAATTACTTGAGTTCATGTCCATATTCAGAGCTGACATTTACTCTTGACTCTGTGTTTTGAGTACGATTCAGTGTTTTAAGTCCCAAAGTCATTTTCTCCAAGCTTCACTTCCAAAGCACCAAGTGAGGGGGAAGCCCAGAACGTGGCCTGCAGCTGTTTTTCTTTTAAGCTTGAATGAGAACCTCTCTCCTGGGAGGGAATGACTCAAAACGCTTCTCCAAACCAATCTGTGCTGTAGGTGAGCCACACTCGTGTTGATGTGGTCACTTAATGCTGTTCAGCCACTACAAATCTCCCACAATGATGCTTTACCTTCGTGATGCATCACCCTGTAGCCCTCAGCTAAGCAGCCTGCTGGTTATTAATATAAAAAACTTGCTGAAGGGCTCGAGTGGAGCTTGAACTTGCTTAGCTGGGAGTTTTTACCTGGCTTATCTTTTCGAGGTAATTGCTGACTTTTCACTATGTGGAGCTCCCAGCGGGGAGAGGAGCTGATCTCCCGCTGAGGAAGCCTGATTTGCACAATAATTTGGAGACCATTTCCATCTCACCATCCTGTTGTCGGGGTGGGCTTTTCCTCCCTGATGGCTCTGCTTGCTGTTTCCTTCGGGGCTGCCTTGGCACAGAGCTGACAAGTCTTTCATATGGTGATTGCGACATTAATTACTCGAATTTTTGTGTTAATTTAATTTTCCAAAAGCTGTCTGCTCCTGGCAGCATGGGTTTTTTGGGGGTGGTGGAAAGTTTTTTGTTTTGGTTTGGTTTTTTTGCACTTGTGTAAGGAGGTACTGAAGTGGTGACTGGCAGTTTTCAGCTACAGGAATTGAAATGTGAACAAAAAAGGTTAATGAATGCATTAAAGAGGTTTTATATTTTCGAAAGTAAACCTGTACATTAAGTCTCTTCTTCTAGTTAGTCTTGAATTTCTAGGGCCCTGATTCTGAGCTTCTGACAGACTTGGGTTTGCCATTAAAATCAGACGCTACTGAATTACTGCCCTTGGCAGCTGAGTGGTTTTGCACTTTTGACACAATAAAGCCATTTTTTTAAAACAAACCTGACTATTACCAGACCTGCTATAAATATCAGCAATCCCTCCTTTCTAGATTTAGTTTTTGTAGGTTCTCCTTAGCAAATATCTTGTTTTTCTGCTGATGGGGCAGAAGATAAACCCAGAATGTGTACTCCTTGAAATAAGACCATTTTGACTTTATTTTTTTCTTAATATTGTCTTTACCTTTCATTTGACAGGATGACAGGAATGGAGACTGAAACAGCGAGAGACAAAGCCATGGAAGAAGAAAGCACAGAACAGAAGAAGGAGAGGGAGAAGAAGAAGAGGTCAAGGGTTAAACAGGTGCTGGCAGATATAGCCAAGCAAGTGGATTTCTGGTTTGGGGATGTAAATCTCCACAAAGACAGATTTCTCCGAGAACAAATAGAGAAGTCCAGAGATGGGTGTAAGTTTATATTCAGTATATTTCACTAAACATTTATGTTTCACTTTTTTTTTGTCCCTACATTATAAGTTATTTTGAGGTGCACATATTCTCCTGGGGCAAGGCAGTAGTTCCATGCTGGAAATAAGTATCCAGCTCTGATTCCTGACCTGTTGATGCTGGATTTTAAAAATTGTTTAGTGTCTTTTTTTCCTTTCCTTTAGAATCAGCCATAAGTTAGAGGCATCTGCCAGGTGGAAATGACTGTTTGGGAGACCTGATTTTTCTTTGTATAATTTTAAGAATAAACAAACAAGGCTCATTTTGCTCTTGGAGGTAGCTTGTCTTGTGGGGTAGATATGTGTAGAAATTAAAATGCTACTTAGATGTGTGTTTTCTGTACAAGTTTGATACATTAGAAATTGTGTATCTGCCTGTAGGGCTCCTGTGAGTGTTTCCTTTAGACAATTTTTTCCATGTGGTTGATTTGTGACTTCAGAGTAAGAAACTGAGCTTGGACCTGAACTTATTTTCCAATTTCTCAAGAAATGAATTTGCACATTAGCTGCAGTGACTGATATGTCTTTGCTTTAAAAACCAGTACCACATGTACTCTCAGTATAATTGTTAAATCATGTATTATATCAAATGGACTCACAGTGCAGCATGTCTGGAAAAAGAGGTGATCCTTTTCCATCAAAACAAAAAAAATAGGGTTTTTTAAAAGTGTTTACTTATTTTTGCTAAGGAGTCCTTGTTTAATTTAAATGTAAATCATTAATCCAGTTGTGTTATGTAGGGAATGTACCTTTCTAAGTGCTTGCTATAGTCTTCAGTTATATTGACCTTTAAGCCAGTTTGTTTTTAAAAAAAAAAAAAACCAACTCAAACTTTAGGGAAAGTTTTATTCTTTTTAGGGCCCTTTTTAAAGGAAGCCCTTAAATAATTAATAACATAATAAATACATTTTATCCTACATTGTTTAGATATACTACAGATGGGATGTCTAAATATTTATTAAGACTAATACTCCTTAATTTTCTCTGAAGGTTTTTGCAGCCTGACTCGTTGCAAGTGAAGTGCAGGCAGGGGCTCTTTGTGTGGGGTTAAACACTCAATTGAGGACTTGAAGGAGAGGCACTGTTTTCAATGCAAATTGTTCTTGTCTTGTAAAACTGCATCAGAAAGGGAGGATTTCTTCCTTTCTCTTCAAAGACAACAGTTATCAGTGGGGAGGTGAAAGAACGAAATTCCTTTGATAAAGGTTAGCACAGAAGCAAATGAAATCTGGGTGTACTTGAAACTTGAATTTTGATGGTGAAAATCGTCTGAGTCGAAAACATTACCCTGATTTCATAATTTACACCTTGATTCTCTCTATTTTTTTTTCCCTTAGATGTTGACATATCCCTTCTTGTTTCTTTCAACAAAATGAAAAAATTAACGACTGATGGGAAGCTGATCGCTCGGGCAGTTAAAAGCTCCTCTGTTGTAGAGGTATTTGACTTTTCACATTTTAAACGTTTTAACGTTTCTGTGTTTGCTGGGGCTGGAAAAACAGCGGTAGAGGTGCTGAAGTAGGTAATAATCTCATGGAAAAATGCTTATTTCTCCTTACTTTTAGCTGGACCTGGAAGGAACCAGGATCAGAAGACGCCAGCCACTGGGTGAGAGGCCAAAGGATGTGGACAGTCGGACTGTCTATGTGGTAAGGCTGGGCTTGTGTGGCCCTCAGGTCCCTCTTATCAACTCTTTAATTAAAATAAAATAAATTAAGAGTGCAAAAATATGTTTGTGTGACAATAGTGTTGTAAACTGGGCAGGGGCTGCTGCTTGTGCTGCCCTATTTAGATCAAATTTGAATTAAGTAAATACAGAACTGCAAGTGGCTGTGGCAAGGAAGGGGTTGGTTTGGTACATAGATTTATTAAAACATTTTAAATGCTGAGCCAAGAGCTGCTTCACATGCTGGTAAGAAAAGGTACAATTTGATTTAGCTATTGCTGTGTTCACAGGGCTCTTCTTGTAAATGCCATTAGAGGAACACCATGGGTACTAAGGAAGATTTACTAATTACATTAATGTAGTTAAAGCTTTGTAATAACAACTCAATTAAGTTCATCAAACAGGCTCTGGCTGAGTTTGCAAATTCATCAGGGCTACTTTAAAAAGTACAATCTGCTTATTAGACCTGTTACTGTAAGTGCCTCTGGTTTTGTAACACACAAACATCATTCTTTTAAAGGCATAATACACCTAAACTTTTTTTTTCCTTAACATTCTCCTAATTAATTTTTTGTTTAAATCCTCCTATTAGCATGCTATCACTCCAGCAAAGTAGCCATAGGATTCCTTAATTTAAATGAAAATAGCTTGTGCTAATGTCTGTATCACTCTGACATTTCAGATATGTCAGCTTTATCAGACTGTTGAGCAGCTTCACTGGTACCTTGGGAAGAGATCTGATGGTTGAGCTGCTGCACACGAAAATCTTTCTTGGGCACACGAAAATCTTTCTTGGGCACA